TGAACCCCCGAATAGGGCTTGTAAACTTTTAATCAAACTACAGGTCGCAATTTTGAAGATAATTCAATGAAATTTGGCACATGATCTTCTATTGTCCCAGAGACGAAGCCTATTGAAAATGGTTAACATCGGTCCATTTTCTCATCTAGCCCCCATACAACTGAACCCCCGAATAGGGTTTGAAAACTTTTAATCAAACTACAGGTCGCAATTTTGAAGATAATTCAATGAAATTTGGCACATGATCTTCTATTGTCCCAGAGACGAAGCCTATTGAAAATGGTTAACATCGGTCCATTTTCTCATCTAGCCCCCATACAACTGAACCCCCGAATAGGGTTTGAAAACTTTTAATCAAACTACAGGTCGCAATTTTGCAGATAATTCAATGAAATTTAGCACATGATCTTCTATTGTCCCAGAGACGAAGCCTATTGAAAATGGTTAACATCGGTCCATTTTCTCATCTAGCCCCCATACAACTGAACCCCCGAATAGGGCTTGTAAACCTTTTAATCAAACTACAGGTCGTATTTTTGAAGATAATTCAATGAAATTTGGCAGATGATCTTCTATGGTACCGGAGACGAAGCTTATTGAAAATGGTTAACATCGGTCCATTTTCTCATCTAGCCCCCATACAACTGAACCCCCGAATAGGGCTTGTAAACCTTTTAATCAAACTACAGGTCGTATTTTTGAAGATAATTCAATGAAATTTGGTCTGTCCGTCCGTCCGTCCGTCTGTCCGTCCATGTAAACCTTGTAATCAAACTACAGGTCGCAATTTTGAAGATAATTCAATGAAATTTAGCATATGATCTTCTATTGGCCCAGGGACGAAGCCTATTGAAAATGGTTAATATCGGTCCATTATTTCACCTAGCCCCCATACAACTGAGCCCCCGAATAGGGCTTGTAAACCTTGTAATCAAACTACAGGTCGCAATTTTGAAGATAATTCAATGAAATTTGGCACATGATCTTCTATTGTCCCAGAGACGAAGCCTATTGAAAATGGTTAACATCGGTCCATTTTCTCATCTAGCCCCCATACAACTGAACCCCCGAATAGGGCTTGTAAACTTTTAATCAAACTACAGGTCGCAATTTTGAAGATAATTCAATGAAATTTGGCACATGATCTTCTATTGTCCCAGAGACGAAGCCTATTGAAAATGGTTAACATCGGTCCATTTTCTCATCTAGCCCCCATACAACTGAACCCCCGAATAGGGCTTGTAAACCTTTTAATCAAACTACAGGTCGTATTTTTGAAGATAATTCAATGAAATTTGGCAGATGATCTTCTATGGTACCGGAGACGAAGCTTATTGAAAATGGTTAACATCGGTCCATTATTTCACCTAGACTGAAAACGACGAATAGGGATTTTAAGTTTATAATTATGTTTAATATACTCGTATCTCGACAAAAAGCTGCAAAACCAAGTTCTATACTAGTCTTGATGACTCGCATGAATTTTATAATTATAAGGTCTCATTTGACCATAGCCCTTATACAAATCCCCCTTCAAAATTTGACTTAAATGTTCACAATTTTATTCAACAATAAATGGCTTAAGTATAATTCAAGGCAAGGTGCAATTCAACTTAAATGCTTTATTATGAAAACTAAATCACATTTTATTTTTGTAACAGGTGTAGGGTATTATATGGTCGGCCTCGCCCGACTATAATTTCTTACTTGTTTTCTTATTAAAATGATTCGTATTTAATTCTCATGTGAAAACAACTGAACATTTTCGAGTAATTTTGTTGACAACCAATTCCAGTTCTCTATGTATTTTGTAAATAATCACAATATGGGCATTTCCATCGTGACAAATCGTAAGTCTTAAAGAGTTGAAAAATAAACATATGTATATATATAGTGAATCAATTAAGTAATTTGCCTATGTAAAATTTTATAAATTTAAAAAAAAAACTTCATATGAACAATTATTTTTAACAAAATTTCTTGTATTTTTTAAAGAATATCCAATATTTTAATTTTCTACCATAAAAAGTAAAATCGTGATATTAATTAACGATATTTTTGATAAAATATGAACGTATTTTTTAAGGTCAATAAAGTATTTTTTAGGTTTTTTGTTCATTATACCCTACACCACTTTAGTGGTGTAGGGTAAAGTAGGTATAAAGTATACCAATCGGCTTAGAATCGTTTTCTGAGTCGATTTAGCTATGTCCGTATGTCCGTCTGGCTGGGTGTCCATGTAAACCTTGTGCGCAAGGTGCAGGTAGCAATTTTCATGATAATTGGATGTAATTTGGCACACACGCTTTTTTGATGAAGCCTATTGAAAAGGGTTAAAATCGGTTCATTATTTCACCTAGCCCCATACAACAGAATCCCCCCGAAGCTTATAATTATGTTTAATATACCTGTATATCGATAAAAAGCGGCACAACTAAGTTTTATACAAGTCTTGATGACTTTGCCAAATTTCATAAAGATCGGGCCTCAGTTGACCCTAGCTCCCATACAAAGTCCCCTTCAGAAAATTACTTGAATGTCCAAAATTAACTTATAAACATAAATATCTCGATGAAATTTAGCACAATAAAATATTATGTAAATATGAATATATTCACAAAATTTTATCAGACTTGGTCCATATTTACCCCTAGCCCCCATATAAAGCCTCTTTCAGAAAATTAGTTTTTCATCCATAAATTGCTTAAATGTATCGGAACAAGGTAATAGAAGATAAATGTGTTATTATGAAAAATAAATCACATTACTATTCAATTTGAAAACATAAATTTACTTTTTACCTGTTTTTTCAAATTTTATTTATGAACAAAAAACAAAATTCTCTTTAACAAGTAAGAGTGCTATATTCGGCTGTGCCGAATCTTATATACCCTTCACCATAGTGTAATTAAAAAACATAAATTTTATAAAATATTAATTTACATATGTATTTCATTTTCCCGACTATATCATTATTATAGCAAAAGCAAAACATAATGAACAACAACAATGCTAAACGAAACAAGTTAGAATGCTATATTTGGCTCTGCCGAATCTTAAATACCCTCCACCAGCAAACTACTTTTTATTAAAACCCAATATAAATATGTTATAAATGGTTAAAGTTATAGGGCCGAATTTATAATTTATACCAAAGAAATAAATTTTACTTAAGTATTAAAATACATACTAAGTACTAAAGTACTTTATTTCCCTTATGGAGAACTGTAAAACCCGGCATATGATTTGTTTCCGTAATTAAGATACTATTTATCATTTTGTAACTTCTTTATGCATGTATGTATGTAAGTGATTTTCAGATATGTGCCGATCCTGCCGATAATTTATATGGGAACTATGACCAATAATGGACTAATTCGAAAAAAAATAATCAAAATGATTTATCTATACACAGAACATACTCATGTCCAGTTTAATAATAAATTATTTGGCATTAAGTGGTTTTCAGAAGTGAACCTTATATGGGAGCTAGTTATGGACCAATGCTGGAAAAATTCCTTATATGGAATGTAACCAATTATGGACTGATGTGGAAAATGTTCACGAATGATTTATATATATATGGGACCTATGACCAATTATGGACCGATCCGAAAAAAAAAAATCGTAAAGTAATTAATATTTATACACAAAATTAATATAAATATCATGCCGAATTTTATCCCGATAGCTTTATTTATCAATGAATTAAGCTTGTTTAAATGATTTTAGGATGTGGACCTTATATGGGAGCTAGTACCAATTGTGGACTGATCCGGAAAAAATTTCACTTAATGATTTATATCTATATACAAAACATATTCACCTCGAGTTCTACCCTGATAGCTTTATTAATCAATGAATTATGCGCATTTGAGTGATTTTCGGATGTGGGCCTTATATGGGAGCTACGACAGATTATGGACCGATCCGGAACAAATTCGTAGAGCAATTCATATACACACAAAACACATTCATGTCAAATTTTATCCAGATAGCTTTATTTATCTATGAATTATGCTCGATTAAGTGATTTTCTGATGTGAACCTTATATGGGAGCTATGACTAATTATGGACCAATCCGGAAAATAATTCCGTAGAATGATTTATGTATATACAAAACATATTCATGTCGAATTTTATCCTGATAGCTTTATTTATCAATAAAATATGTTCATTTAAGTGGTTTTCGAAAGTGGACCTTATATGGGAACTATGACTAATTGTGGACCGTAGTTTTGATTCCTGTTCATATAATGTCAATATGTACAAAATTTTGTGTTGATACCGATATATTTGAGGAAGTTATTAACGATAAATTAATTTCCGGGAATATGTACCTTTGTATGGGGGCTATGGGAAATTTTGGATCGATTGCTACAATTTTAAAGATAATTAATCTATAGTTTCTGAGAAAACTACTCAAGAATTAGGGGAAAAAACATAATATTTTTAGGTAGTCTGAAATTTTTACTCATAACTTTTTACGTTGTGAACCGATTTTGCCAAACTGCTTAGGAAAACAATGAATATTCTCAGTGAATTTGGTTGATGTCATTTGCTTAGTTTTAACGTGAGCGTGTTTTAACCAGACAGACAGACGGACATAGCTAAATCAACTCAGAATTGCATAAGGACCCAGAATATATATACTTTGTTGGGTCTCAGACGTACATCGTAGTTAAAAAAGCAGTACAATTGAGTAGAAAAAAGTACAATTGTTTATTTTTAAAAAAATTCAATTAAATTGTTCTAAAAACGGTATATTGATATAGGTTGTTATGATTTTTCACAACAAACTCAATTGAAAACTAATTCATGAGAAATAAATTTATAATTAATCCAATTACAAATCATTTTTTAATATTCGTGTGTTATTAATTTATATTTTTTCTTTGAAAAATGCCGAAGTCACCAAATTTTTGTTTTGTTTACATTTTCAAATAGCAATAATTTGTTGTGAACATTCATATGTTTGATATCTTTTACTGGAGAAAAAATATCCAGTAAAAATTCTCTATCAACGAACTGTCATATTTATCATTCTCATACTCTCTCGTTGCAAATTTAATTAACAAATTGTTACAAATTACTGAAATATCGTTGATAGAAAAACGTTCTAAAAACCCATACTATTTTATTCTGATATCAATATTTATTTTAAGTCAATCAATCAATTATTACAAGTCAATAACTTTCTTCCATCTTCCTCAGATACTTCATTTACGAAAAATTAGAATGTGTAGTGTGCACCTCCCTAATAAACAGCTACTAATAAAAAGAAGAAGAGTAAACAAAAAAATAAAGGGATTTTCTATAATTCTTGTCATCTTTGACAAATGGAAATTTGGTAAACAAAAACAAATGAACAAAACTATGAATTTTAAATAGCTGAAAAAAAAAATATCAGCCATCTTTTCGATAAAGCTAGGTTTCGAGGCAGGAAACGAGGACAAATTCGTTCTTTTTTTTAATCGAACTGGGCCAACAAAGAAGAAGGTGGAGTTGTGGCTCCGTCATACAAAAAAAAACTAAATTTTTGTTTTTTTTATAAATTAAATAAATTTTATTGAAAAGAAATTGTAAACTTAACATTAGACTTAAAACTAAATCTTCAAAATAAAAATAAGAAAAAGCTAAATAAACAAACCTGCAAGCCACTCAACACCAAACTTCATCCATCGAGGGAGCAGCCGCATTAGCATCACCACGCCTGGGGTGCTAGGGTATATTTGGTGATATTCCGACTACAGTACAGTGAAATACCGGGACACATAGACGGACGTTCGATTCGGTTCCTTTTCTTTAAGAAAATAAAAAAAAAAAGATAAATATATATTAAAAAAAAAGTGAATAGTGAGATATTTATATAAAAAAAATAGGAAGTCTTACGTCTCGTAAATTTCATCCCGCGTGTGAACATTAACCACGCGTGCGCGAGTTAGGTTAGAGCTCTGGCCTAGGGATCAGTGAGTCGCGAGGTTGATTAACCAAGATTTTCCTAAAATCTTATATAGGTAATTCTCCTAATAAAAAAAAAAATATATATAATTATTTAGAAATAAATAAAAGGAATTAGAGAATTTATAATTTATTCGTACCTCAAACTACTTTGACATCTGGACACGTCACGAACAGGAAATATCCATCTACCCTATCCTCATTTGGGAGATACTTCCGATAAAGTAGTTGGCCGCCAGGAACTAGAGCCGGAAATCGGTAATAAATCCGAGAGGTTGAGAAAGTGAAATTATAAATTATTATTATCAGAAGGGAACTATTGAATTAAACCTAACTTGGAAAAGAAAAGTCGAAAACTAAAAAGAAAAAAAATCCAAAATTTAAAACTAAATTTTTAAAATTAAAATTTAAAACTAAATTTGTAAAATTAAAATTTATAACTAAATTTTTAAAATTAAACTTTAAAACTAAAATTTTAAAATTAAACTTTAAAACTAAAATTTTAAAACTAAAATTTGAAACTAAAATTTTAAAATGGAAATTTAAAACTAAAATCTTAAAATTAAAATTTAAAACTAAAATTTTAAAATTGAAATTTAAAACTAAAATCTTAAAATTAAAACTAGAAATAAGAGTAAAATATGAAATCGTCATCTAAAAGTAAAATTTTTGTAAATTTTATTCCGATATTTTCGTTTATATAAATTCTTTTTTTTTAATAAAACAACTTTTATAATGTATAAATGAAAATACTACTTTCCAAGTTTTATTTTAATTAATATGACTGGCTAAAATTCAGTAAACGCGGCGGTAAGTAGGGAAGGTATTGTCTGCGGGGAAAGTTTGGGACATCCCTACTATTGGATGTCATGGCGGGATTCAATCCCGAGTGGGAGGGTTATTTCCTGGCAACAACATCAGCCAGGAGAAGAATTGTTCGATAGACTAGTACGCAGGGAAATGGAGAAAGACTACTTTGAGCCCTTTAACTTTAATATATTTTTGCTGGTATGATTTTTTTGTGATGGTGTGTGTATTCGGTACAGATTGCTGGCAAGGACCACCCCCTCCGGCGAGCTCCAAGCCCGGCAATCGCGAGCATACCAGCGCCGCCGGCAATCTGGCCACACTGTTTTTTTTGTTGTTTATTTTGTTTTCTGTTTGTTCAATGAACAAACAGATGTTCAACAAATCCACCAACCCACACAGCACATAAATGGCGCCCAACGTGGGGCCCGAAGTAGGTCCATAGATTAATCTAGTTAGTCCTTAATGCTATTCAGTCAAGACTACGTAAGTCCTGTTAGGTCATAACAAGAGTCCCTAATTGTAGCGACGTCGTCAGACGAAATAGTTATTTATTTTATTTTTTTTTCATTTCTACTTTTCAATAGATGGGAATCTATAATTGTGCATGACTAATATTGTACACACTAACGTAAGTCCCGAACATCTGGACAACCCAGTCTGGTTCGCGTTGCGACGTTTGGTGTGGGCAATATAGTCATGCGGAATTATAGATTCTTCAGCCTGTTCTTTCCAAGCAACTTGAGGCTCTCGTATTAGCTTTCCATAGCAAGAGCGAGATTGCTCAAGTTGGGAGGAAAGAATAGCATAGGCAGCCACCCTTAATAGCAAAACTATTAGTGTTTGTTTAAAACTCACGTTTGTCTACAGCTAAATAGTTAAAGTAGTCCTAGAAGAACTAGGTTTTTAAAACCAACATCTAGTTGCACCTTAACATTTTTGCTGTGGTGAAACAAGCACTACCATTTATCATCCATTTTAACTTCTCCATCTCCTGAAACCAATAGGAAAACAATTACTACTATATCTTCGAACAATTTCAATATACTTTACCTGCAAACTTTACTTTCCCGAAAGCATCGCCGTTTACAAAATTACGTTTTGAATCTTCATTTTTTGTTTGAGTTTGGATCTTTTCTTTTTAGATTTAGACTTTTAGTTTTTTGAAAGAAAAAGGAAGATATTTTCTTAGTATCTCGTTTGAGATTTACCTTTAAAAAAATATATATATATATTTTTTTTTTTTACTAGCGCTCGATTTTGCTTTTATATATTTATATATATGTATTGACATTTTATCATTTGAATTGGACCTAAATATTTACGATTATTTGGTCAAGCTCATTTTAATATTGGTGTTCTCTACTATGGTATTAACTCGCTCAGCTAGGAGTCGATCCCAAGCAGACAACAGAAATAATCTTGAAATGGAGAACGCTAACAGAACCGTGATTGAAACTGCGGTTTCCGCTGCGCTCCCCTTGTACACCATCGCTAATACTATGACCACAACAACAACCACAACTACAGCAACTTCGACAGTAACACCCGCCGTCCGGCAGTTTATATCATTAGCACAAGAACGCTCAGGATTTCATCACGAGTCTTCTTTTATAAACAGTACGATAACTTCGCCTGAATATAGCAGTATTACTGCCAGGAATGTGCAGCAGGAATATCGTTCCAGCATGCCACCGGCAGCACCTCCACCTGCTAATAATGTGACAGCCGCAACCGAGGTGGTTAATTTTATGCGCGAGGAATTGCAAAGGCAAATGCAGTTCTTGCGTAGCGATATGCAACAAGAGATTGCGCAATCCATAACTCGAGCGTTATCCCAAGCATCACCTCCACAGCCTGCCGAACCGCAACCACCTGTCCTACAACAAAATAACAATTTAGCGACAAATGTTCAACCACAATCGTATTTAAATATACCTGTGCTTAATAATCAGCAACCAGACGCTTTTCAGCCGTTGCCACCACAAGCAGCTTATACACATCCGCTAAACTTCAATCCAGTTTTGCCACCACCACAGTCGTCGCAAGCCCCTAGCTGGCCCACAGAAGGTGCCTTTTCCATCGCACGGAAGGTGGATTTATCAAAGTAGGGGATTAAATTTGATGGCACATTCAAATCCATGAGTGCAGAGGATTTTATCTTCCGTATTGACGTCTTGAGGCAGGATTATGATTGTAGCTTCAATGACATTTTAAGAAGTTTCCATTCGTTGTTGGAAGGCCAGGCTTTAGATTGGTACTGGAACCTCCGCAAGTTAAGGCCAATACGCTCCTGGGAAGAGTTGGTCGGAGCATTTCTTACGCAGTTCCGACGGTACGAGAGCGAGTTCCAACTGCAGAAACAAATAATGGACCGTCGCCAACTACCGATGGAAAGCTTCGAAAGTTTCTACAATGCTGTGATAAAGCTAAGGAACCAGCAGCGAAATCCATATTCTGAGCGAGACTTGGTGGAAATTATGAAAAGTAACTTAAAACCGTCAATGTCGCACTTGCTATTTTCTGTGACCACTTCTAATCTGAATGAGTTCTGTCAACAGGCGAAACGAGCCGAAAACTTAATTACCACTCAAAGGCAGACTTTTCAAGCTAGACATTCCGTCCCAGCTCGCGTACATGAACTCCAGTTTGGAGATGAAGAGCCGACACCTATCCCCGAAGTAGACGCCTTAGCCACTAGTAGCCGGTATATATGCTGGAATTGCAAGCAACCAGGCCATAGCTTCATGGATTGCCCATCACCCAATAGGCGCATATTTTGTTTTCGATGCGGTAGAGACGATGTAGTCACGCCTAAGTGCCCTAAATGTCAGGGAAACCTGAAGGGGAGCGAGTCCCAAACGGGGGAGACTCGTTCAAACCAACCCTAATCCCGGATAATACTCCGTCCAGACCTACCCGAATTCCGAGCGTTTAACTCCTGAAGCTGAAAAGCCGAAAGTCCATGTAATTAAACCATTACATCAAAGAATTCATGAATATAATGAAGCTAAATTAAGAATCTTCGGGCAGGTCTCTAACAAGATAAAGAAAGCTAGACAGCGTTACAAAATCAGGAAAAGAGTGAAGCATGAAATAATGTCAACGAGTTTGTATGAAGGGAAAGATGCTAGAATATATTTAAAAATTCCTATTAATGGACACGAGGTTGATGGTATATTGGACAGTGGAGCTACCGTTTCCTGTCTGGGTAAAGGTTGTATGGAGTTAGTGGAGAGTACGGGTCTCCCAGTTCAAAAATTTCTGTCCTACGTTAAAACGGCCGATGGCAGTTCACATAAAATTGTCGGACGGGTAAAAGCTATGATCAACTTTAATAATTATTCAAATGAAGTTACCTTATATTTAGTACCAACGCTAAGTAGGAGTCTATTCTTAGGCGTAGACTTTATGAAGAGCTTCGGTCTATTCCCGGCCTTGTGTAGTCTTGCTACTAATGAAGTGGATTTGTGTCCGGAGTCGGAAGAGGTTAAGGACAACCTTAAAATACATGTACTCCCTCCCGATGACAAGGCGGCTTTAGAAAAAGTAGTGGCGTTATTTCCTTGCTGCACGAAGAAAGGTCTTGGCCAGACTACGCTCGAATGTCATACAATCGATACCCGCGAAGCGATTCCGGTTAAAGACAGACATTATCCCGTCTCACCAGCTGTGCAGAAGTTGATGTACGCAGAGCTGGATAGGATGCTTAACCTTGGGGTCATTGAGCAGAGCGAGAGTCCTTGGAGCCATCCGGTTACTCTCGTCCGTAGGGGCGAGAAGAACCGTTTGTGTCTGGACGGTCGTAAGCTAAATGCTCTCACGGTTAAGGACGCCTATCCTCTGCCGCACATCGAAGGTCTTCTCAGCCGGTTAGGGGATACATATTACATATCAAGCGTTGATCTCAAAGACGCGTTCTGGCAGATACCACTAGATGCATCTAGTAAGGAGAAAACTGCATTCACGGTGCCAGGACGACCACTTTACCATTTTACGGTCATGCCTTTTGGGTTGTGTAATGCAGCCCAAAGGTTATGTCGCCTAATGGATAAAGTGATCCCCGCAGCACTTCGTGATAGAGTTTTCGTCTATCTAGATGATCTTTTGATAGTATCTCCAGACTTTAAGACACACTTGGAATTGCTGGAACGGGTAGCGCGTTGTTTGGATTCAGCGAGTCTGACCATCAACGTAGCCAAGTCCAAATTCTGCTTCAGGGAACTGAAGTACCTAGGGTATATAGTAGGAGGAGGAAAATTAAAACCTGATCCTGATAAAGTTAATACTATTATAAAATATACATACCCGAAAACCGCGAAGCAGGTTAGAAGCTTTATGGGAGCCACTGGTTGGTACAGACGCTTCATTCCCGACTATGCCACCATATCCACTCCAATATTTAACACTCTCAAGAAAGGAAAAGTCTTCAGTTTTCCGGACGAAGCTAAAGAAGCCTTCGACAAATTAAAATCGGCCCTTACAACAGCACCAGTACTTAGACATCCGGATTTCAACAAGCATTTTTACGTGCAGTGTGATGCTTCAGACGTCGGGTTGGGAGCAGTTTTGTTCCAAAAAGATGAAGACGACGGCGAGCATCCGGTAGCGTTCTTCTCTCATAAATTAACCAGTGCCCAGAAAAACTATTCGGTCACCGAGAGAGAGTGCTTGGCGGTAGTGATGGCAATTAAAAAATTCCGGCCGTACATCGAACTGTTGCCGTTTACCGTCATCACTGACCACAGTAGCCTCAAATGGTTAATGTCTCATAAGGACCTCAGTGGCAGACTAGCTCGGTGGAGTTTACACCTCCAAGCCTTTTCATTCTCTATTGAACATCGGCCCGGATCCAAAAATATAGTACCTGACACCTTATCGAGATATGATATGGAGGAAATATCTGCGGAGGTAAATAATTTAATAGATTTGCAGTCAAATTATTTTAAAGAGCAAGGTTACCTGGACTTAATCGCCAAAATCCATGAAAATGCCGAACGTTTACCAGATTTGAAGGTAGTTGACGATTTGGTCTACAAACGAGTTTTGCCTTACGATGGTATTCCAATAAACGAAGACTTCGCTTGGAAACTTTGGGTTCCGCTTGAATTGACCCAAGACATTATTGCCAAGTGCCATAATCCACCTCAAGCCGCACATGGAGGTTTTGGAAAAACACTCCGAAGGGTCAAAGAATATTTCTACTGGCCAAACCAAAATATACAGGTTCGTACCTTTGTAGCCAATTGCCAAATCTGTCGAGAAACAAAACCCGCCAATTCAACTTTACGACCACCCATGGGAGCGGAATCTCAAACGGAGCGCCCGTTCCAGAGAATCTTTATCGATTTCCTAGGTCCGTATCCGCGGTCCAAAAACGGGAATTCATTTATATTCATCGTTCTGGACCACCTTACGAAATTCGTGCTTTTGAAAGCTATGGCAAAGGCAAATACGAAAAATGTCATAAAATTCCTAATCTCCGAAGTATTCCACAAATTTGGTACCCCGGAAATAGTTGTGTCAGACAACGGAAAACAGTTCGTCAGCAAAGAATTTCAAGATATGGTTTGTAGCTTTGGCGTAAAGCATGTAAAAACTGCCACACACTCGCCACAAGCCAACGCTTCGGAACGGGTTAACCAGTCCATCCTGTCCGCAATTCGTTCCTACTTACAGGAGGATCACACTGAGTGGGATAAGTACCTGTCCGAAATTGAATTTTCGCTGCGGTCGTCAGTCCAAACGTCTATTGGGGTTACGCCGTACTTCGCACTGTTCGGTATGAACATGATTTCGCACGGAAGTGTATATAAGCTTGCGAAGAAACTACAATGTCTTCATGATCCGGAAATCGACATAGTACCAAAACCCGTAAAAATGGACTTAGTACGGCACAAAATTCGTGAGAATCTGCACAAAGCATATTTGAAACACGAGAAGACATACAATACCCGTTGCCGTCAAGTCAAGTTTGTACCAGGTCAAGAGGTTTATCGCCGCAACTTTCAGCAAAGCGATTTCAAAAATAATTTTAATGCTAAACTAGCCAAGAAATTTTTAAAATGCCGAATTGTCAGACCTATTGGTAATAGCCTATACGAGGTTGAAGACCTTCAAGGAAAATCGTTGGGGGTATTTCATGCCAAAGATTTAAAACAATAGTTTCAACATCTTTGGTGGTTCTAGTCCCAACGATTATACCTACTCCTAGCTCGAACCAAAATGATAAAACCTATTTTATTTTCTGTATTTTGTATAAATGAGTTAGTAGATACTTTCTACACAAAACATTTTGTTAATGATATTTTGCCTTGATTATATTTAACACTTTGTTTTCTTTTTTTTTGTGAAAGCCTACGACCAGGGAAGTTCATTTGTGTTGTGGAACAGTAAACAGTCGTGATAGTTTGCCCGTTAACGAGTAGTTCGTCGAGTGCTCAACCAGACTAAATATATTAATTTTCGTTTATGACCACGTTGTGATCGTCAGACGCTAGTCATAGATGCAATTCCGTCATAGCACCCTTTGGAACCATGCGCTCAGGGTTAGGAATTATTAGTCATCTAAGCGCTGACTAAAATTTGGCAATTTGAATTGTCTGGGAGCAAAGCTGCGACGAGTATCCAACAAGCGTTTCGGGTAGAAACACGTGAATTACTCGTTAACAGGGAAATCTATCACTACGGTATGTTGTTCTCACAACACGAACTATTCCTGGCAAAATAGTTTTTTCTAATGGAAAACATTATGATCTTAACGATCACGAAATAAGGCAATATATCTATAGTTTGCTTTTAAATCTAATTTAAATACTAAATCTAATATTAGACTAAACAGAATAACTTAAAATTAGATGTTAATAATAGAAATTTAAAGTTTTCACTTACCGATTAAAATTTTCGTTGATTGGAGAAATTTTCCTCTCGATCTTACAGTTGGCTGGTATTGTTGATTTTCTTCAGGAACCAAAATGTGATGATTCAACCTGTGAAAGGAAAAACAAAACAATTAGTATTTGGTCTAAAGTAAATTTTGATGATACAAGTCATTTTCAATATCTAATCATTTGATTTAGATAAGTTCAGTATTAGTTAGTACTTACGTTTTAGAACAATAATTGGGTTCATATACCGCATTCAAGCTTCCGGTCCAGGTCCAATCTGAATTTATAACCTGTGGAAGAGAAATAGAATATAATTAGTTGAATTAATTTAATCTAGCTTTTTGTAATCTTCTAAAAGGACAAACTGAATTCCAAGCTAAGATCAAATCATTTTTATTTATTATTTCTTTTAGAAAATTACACTTTATATATATATTTTTCTTTTTTTTCTTTCAAAATAATTTTATTTTTGAATATTTTTACTTTTATTTCCGGAGAAATTGTAAGGGGTATTTCTCGCCAAAGTCTCTAGACGTTAGTCTATGAGCTTTGGTGAACTTAGTCCTTACATTTCTACCAAATTCCTGCGATTAAGTCGTGAATATGAAGAGAAAACTTAATATAAGTGAAATTATGTTTCATTATATATTATTTAGTTTTAGGTTTATTACTTACCTTTCCTGAACGGAAGCAGCAACCAAGGCCAAATCCCAGGTCCAATTGAATTTTATTAGCTGAAAGTAAAAGAAAATTTATAAAATTATTAATTTTGAATTAAAGCAAAAAGATATTTTAATCGGAGAAATAATTTTATTTTCACTTTTCTTTTATTTTATCCATTTAGGATTGGTTTGATTTTTTTAGAGTTTTCTTTATTAATTTTTCTTTTGTTTTGGTTACAAAAGGTTTTGGTCACGGTTCACTTCATTTTTGTTTACACAAATAATTTTGTTTTAAATTTAACTGATTCACAAATTCTGATGGCCACTGTAAATTTTCAAACTTTAGTTTCCGTTGGTCTCGCTTATTAAATCCAGTCACTAAAAATTTTCACCTTTTTTTTACACCCACTGTATTTGAAGAAAAAAAATATTTCACTGTCACTTCACTTTTTGCTCTCACTGTATCTTCCGAATTTAAATTTTAAATTGTTTTTGTTACTTTTCAGAACCACTCTAATTTCTTAAACAATTTTCTTTTTCCAACTTTTTTTCATTAAATTAATTTTTTTTTGTCCGAACACTTTTGACACTCACTATAAATTCCGATCAAATAATTTTTCTTTAACATTTTCACTTTTAATTATTCTACACGATACGATTGTTAAAACTTTTTCAAGTTTTTTTCCGTTTACTTTTTACACGCACTGTAAATTCCAAAATATTTTTTTTTACCCGAATTCACTTTTTCCAAAACCCGAACCGAAATTATTTTAAATTTATTCAAATTTTTTTATTTTATTCGATTAAAAATTTTTTTTTTTACACGGCACTCACACTTTTGACGCACACTGTAACCAAAAAGTTTTTTTTGTTGCACCGAACCACATTTTAATTTTCACTAAATTCCACTTTTTATATTTCAAAAATAATTCATTTCACTTACCTTAAATTTCCGGAACGACCTTAATCCATAGTACACCGGCCCATCTGGAACAAAACCTAGAAAATTTAAAACAAAATTATTAGAAAATTTTATAAAAATAATTAAAATAATTTCCACTTTTTTTTACTTACCATTTCATTCTGCTTCGATCCGCCATCTTTCAGAATCGGCCATCAGTTTTTTTATATAGGCCCAGGGCCGCCAACATGATATCTGTAAAGAAAGAAAATTTGGTTGTGTTAGTTAGCAACACCACTAATAAAATTCCCATTTGTATAACACTTTTACTTACCTTGTTTAAAAACCCCTTTATTGGCCATAAATCTCCACCAGAACCTGTAAAGAAACAAAAGAAAAAATTATTATATTGTTTTAAACTATTTAAAGTAATATTTTTGTTATTTTATTGTTTATCAACAAAAAAACTACTTACCTCGTTGTATCCATTGATATTTTTTTTGTTTGGGTGCTTCTTCTTCACCCACGCGTAGTATTTTTCTTATTTGCCTCCTCCTCTTCCATTCATTCAAGCAGCTGTTCAGAGTACGTCGCCGCCTGACCAGTTTTTAACGGCGGTACAGAGTTGTACTTTTGTTATCGAATGAATAAGGGTTGCCATAGCGCAAATTTTTTGTATGGGAATAATGAAATACCCAAAATCCCAGAAAAGTTTTAGGAAAATTTAGGGTGCGATTTTTTCCCTCCCATCCTGTATCCAGGGATGGATAACAGGAATGGTGGGGTTTGTAGTGTGCACCTCCCTAATAAACAGCTACTAATAAAAAGAAGAAGAGTAAACAAAAAAATAAAGGGATTTTCTATAATTCTTGTCATCTTTGACAAATGGAAATTTGGTAAACAAAAACAAATGAACAAAACTATGAATTTTAAATAGCTGAAAAAAAAAATATCAGCCATCTTTTCGATAAAGCTAGGTTTCGAGGCAGGAAACGAGGACAAATTCGTTCTTTTTTTAATCGAACTGGGCCAACAAAGAAGAAGGTGGAGTTGTGGCTCCGTCATACAAAAAAAAACTAAATTTTTGTTTTTTTTATAAATTAAATAAATTTTATTGAAAAGAAATTGTAAACTTAACATTAGACTTAAAACTAAATCTTCAAAATAAAAATAAGAAAAAGCTAAATAAACAAACCTGCAAGCCACTCAACACCAAACTTCATCCATCGAGGGAGCAGCCGCATTAGCATCACCACGCCTGGGGTGCTAGGGTATATTTGGTGATATTCCGACTACAGTACAGTGAAATACCGGGACACATAGACGGACGTTCGATTCGGTTCCTTTTCTTTAAGAAAATAAAAAAAAAAAAGATAAATATATATTAAAAAAAAAGTGAATAGTGAGATATTTATATAAAAAAATAGGAAGTCTTACGTCTCGTAAATTTCATCCCGCGTGTGAACATTAACCACGCGTGCGCGAGTTAGGTTAGAGCTCTGGCCTAGGGATCAGTGAGTCGCGAGGTTGATTAACCAAGATTTTCCTAAAATCTTATATAGGTAATTCTCCTAATAAAAAAAAAAATATATATAATTATTTAGAAATAAATAAAAGGAATTAGAGAATTTATAATTTATTCGTACCTCAAACTACTTTGACATCTGGACACGTCACGAACAGGAAATATCCATCTACCCTATCCTCATTTGGGAGATACTTCCGATAAAGTAGTTGGCCGCCAGGAACTAGAGCCGGAAATCGGTAATAAATCCGAGAGGTTGAGAAAGTGAAATTATAAATTATTATTATCAGAAGGGAACTATTGAATTAAACCTAACTTGGAAAAGAAAAGTCGAAAACTAAAAAGAAAAAAAATCCAAAATTTAAAACTAAATTTTTAAAATTAAAATTTAAAACTAAATTTGTAAAATTAAAATTTATAACTAAATTTTTAAAATTAAACTTTAAAACTAAAATTTTAAAATTAAACTTTAAAACTAAAATTTTAAAACTAAAATTTGAAACTAAAATTTTAAAATGGAAATTTAAAACTAAAATCTTAAAATTAAAATTTAAAACTAAAATTTTAAAATTGAAATTTAAAACTAAAATCTTAAAATTAAAACTAGAAATAAGAGTAAAATATGAAATCGTCATCTAAAAGTAAAATTTTTGTAAATTTTATTCCGATATTTTCGTTTATATAAATTCTTTTTTTTTAATAAAACAACTTTTATAATGTATAAATGAAAATACTACTTTCCAAGTTTTATTTTAATTAATATGACTGGCTAAAATTCAGTAAACGCGGCGGTAAGTAGGGAAGGTATTGTCTGCGGGGAAAGTTTGGGACATCCCTACTATTGGATGTCATGGCGGGATTCAATCCCGAGTGGGAGGGTTATTTCCTGGCAACAACATCAGCCAGGAGAAGAATTGTTCGATAGACTAGTACGCAGGGAAATGGAGAAAGACTACTTTGAGCCCTTTAACTTTAATATATTTTTGCTGGTATGATTTTTTTGTGATGGTGTGTGTATTCGGTACAGATTGCTGGCAAGGACCACCCCCTCCGGCGAGCTCCAAGCCCGGCAATCGCGAGCATACCAGCGCCGCCGGCAATCTGGCCACACTGTTTTTTTTGTTGTTTATTTTGTTTTCTGTTTGTTCAATGAACAAACAGATGTTCAACAAATCCACCAACCCACACAGCACAAATGGCAGGATCGTTTTTCTTTAAATCGTTCCACAGCGGGGATGGATAAAGTCATCGAATGGTACATGACGGAGCATTACAGACCATTTTAACATTCAAACATGTCCTTCAGATTTCAAATTTTTTTTATTTCGAAAATTCATTAAAAACTTTCATTACATTGCTGTCTAAATCAAATGTTTAATAAATGTATTATTTAATACATGACAAAGGCATCCAAACCTCATATCAAATGGATGAGCATTATCTATTAAGTCCTTAAATAGCGATTAAGTAGAATAATTGTCTATGGTCATATTTATACCTATAAAATTATGGTAAAATACAAAAAAAGTACAAAAAGAAGTACAAATACTAAAAAGAAGTACATTTGCGTACTTCTTTAGGGGTTATGCAGTTAAAAGTACAATTACTAAAAAAAAGTACGCGTACTGCTGAAAACAGTACGTCTGGCAAGCCTAGTCTCAGATGAATATTTTTTTTTCTATCAATACTGATGGTGGTGGAGGGTATAATAAACACACAAAAAACAAAATACATAAGGCAGGCAAACCAACAGACATCCAAACAAACGAAACGAAATACACAAAAAATCAAAATACACAACGCAATGAAACCAACAGACATCCAAAGTTTGGATTCCAAACATATGGAACTGAATTCACCTAGAAACAAAAACAATATACACAAGGCAATGAAACACACAGCCATCCAAACATACGAAACTGAATACACCAAGAAACAAAAACAACATACACAAGGCAATTAAACACACAGCCATCCAAACATACGAAACTGAATACTCAAAAAAAAAAAAAAAAAACAAAAACAAAATACACAACGCACCCAACAAAGGCTTTAAAATTCGTTTATAACAAACTTACTACCATAAGCGTTAGGTTTGCAAAACTATTATGATAATTGTTGTAAAAGGCTTGTTAACAATTATTTTATCAAGAAAATTGAACCCTTGTGATAATATTCCTAGTTGCAGTTTACAACAAGCTTAGAAATAAGCTTACTGAAATAAGCTTACTGAAAAATAGTTTTTGAAATATGATTGAAGTAAGCTTATTTTCGTAACATTCTTATAAGCTTATTAATTCAATTAAAACAATATTTTTTTGTTTCATACATATTTTTTATTTTTCATTACTTTATTGATATTTTTCAATTATATTTTTTACAATTTTGCACTTCTCTATATATATATTACGTATTAGTCTATTATTGGTAAATGGAAAAGACTTGTTTATACTTTTTATGAACTCGTCCTCCCTCAATCCTATAGAAAAAGCGGCATCTATAAAATAAAAAAGCACATTGTTTTATTATGTGGCATTTTTTATATATTAATTAAATTACCTTTTTTAAACACAAATTTTATATTACTTTATTTTATAAAATTACACTCTTAAACACTTAAAAACACTGCCTTTGCCAAACTAAACAAGAAAACTGAAATGAAGAAGAATAATAATAAGAAAAACACGCAATAAAATAACGGGATATCACATTTGTAAAACTTGTTATCCTAACTAAAGCTACGTTCAGACCTGTAAAATATTTGGTCCAAATATTTGTTATAAAATATTTATAAAGTTGCGTCAAACAAACGCAATATTTATTTCATGTTCAGACTTGAACAAATATTTGATGGTATTGTTTTATCAAAAAGTGCAAAAATAATTTGGTTCAAACACACACATGTTTTGCAGCCACAGAATATCGTATATTTTCATGCAAGAAAAAAGCAATTTGGCAATTTGTTTTAATTTTAACTATTTTTATTAGGTTTAAAATTAAATTTTTATAATAAAAGTGTATAATATTAATATATAACACGATTGAAAAAACTTTGTTTGTCGAATCTGAACATAAAATATTTCATGTTAACAAACAGCAATGCGGATGATTTTCATAAAACAAATTGATTTGCTGGCAAATAAATATTTTCTCATTGTTTCATCAATGTGAACACCAAAAGTCAAATAATTTACGTCATTTTGGTAAAATAATTATTTGATCTTGCAAACCAAATGTAAGATCAAACAGCGTCAATGACAGCTGTTCTTTGTTTATTTTCTGAAAAAGAGTGTTATCACCTCATACAAAAATGTAAATAGTCGCTTATATGACTGGTTTTATTTTATTTTTTATAAAATATAAATCTGAGACAAAGTTGTGACATTTAATTGAAATTCAAGCAATTGCGTAAATTAATGATAATTATTATTTTTGTTGTTTGTTTTGTTATTTATTGGTTGGTAAAAACATACTATATATAGTTATACTACATAATATATGCATCTATAGTCTAGTTTGCAGTCTAGTCCAACGGTTCCCAAATTACAATTAAATAAGAGATACTGTTATCTCGGAGTATGAAGTTAGGCCACATTTCATAATTCAAGGACAAGCTTATCGCAGATTTAAGTTTGTCAAATTGTAAACAAAAGTGTTCTTGTTTGGAAGGACTAAAATAATATATTTCCGAAACAGAGGTGACTCTTTATTCGTTTTCAATACGTTAATCCAGGTAATTTTAAATATAAATATTCCATTCCGACGTGATACACAGATTTTAACTTGATTTTGTCGACCAATATTATTAAATTAACATCAAAAAATACGTAAATAGTCAAAACCATGCAGTAAAATTCACAGTACTTTCGCAAAGAGTTCAAGTCATATATTATGCGGATAACGCATTCCGCAACAATATCGAAGAAGTTCAACTTTCTTATATTATTCTCCCGAAAAATTAGCTAACGTACTCATGAAGAAACCTTTTCGTTACCTTAAAGAAAAATGAACGTGAAAGATCTTACGATCATAAAATTAAACATCATGTTAACATTTCAACAATGAAGTCATTCTATCTTCAAAAACAGGCAATTAAAACTTCTCTGAAATATTAATTATTCTCAATGTACGGGAATATTTTATAGAAATGACATATCTACATCTGTTTGACCTTGGGATTTATGGACTATGACAATTTTCGGATGAACAATTACATATTTAGAACAATAAGATATCAAAATATGTATGGGGGTCCGCGAATTTAAATAAATTCCTCAAGGGGTCCGCGAAGTAAAAACCGGGGGAACCGCTGGTCTAGTCTATAGTCAAGCTATAGTTTAGTCTATAGTCTTGTCTATACTCTAGTTTATAGTATTGTTTATAGTCTAGTCTATAGGTTATAATCTAGTCTATAGTTTAGTAATTAATTGAGAAATTATTTAATTAATTTATTACTCAATTTATTTAAACAATAATTTATTATATTAATGGATATAAAAATATATTAATAATAAACAATTCTCTATAATTTTCAATTTTATAGATATGTAATTTAATGAAAATTATTTATAATTTGGTTATTTCCGGGCTTATAGCGATTTTTTTGAAATCGCTATTAACCGTTCCAAACAACCAAGGTTTTTCGCTACATTGATTATACTAAATAGCAACAACATGACAGTAAAGATCCACCATCTATCTCTTTTCCACTTGCACAAGGTATTGAAATGTAATTTGTATTTTTTGTTGTAAAATTTTGATGAAAAACAATATTAAATGAAATTTTAGAATATATAGAAGTTATTATTCAATGATATAGCTTTTTAGTAAATATAAACACATATATTTTTGGCTTTTGGTTTGGTTGCGCATTAGCTGTTCTTGTTGTTATGTTCCTCTTTGCCTGCAAACAAAATCTTGTTTTTTTACTGTTTTATCCGTCAATTGTTTTACGAAATTATTTGTTGTAATGTGAACACCGGGCAAACAAACTTTTACTATTTGTATTGAATTGTGTTTGGCTTTGTTTCTTCAAACAAAACGTCAAAATAGAAATACTCATTTTAAGCACATTATGAAATAAAAATGTATTTAATTTTTTGTTTTTAGGCAGAAATTTCTATGAAATCGTAAAAAATATTATTAAATAGTTTTTTTAACGTTTAACAAAAATGTTTCATGTTTGGTGTTCACATTAACAAAATATTTGTAGGTTGACAAATAAAAATGTTTCACGAAAAACAGCTGATATTTTGTTTGCTCTTCAAAAATATTTTGTGTTCACATTACAGCCAACAAATATTTGATAAAAAACGTCAAATATTAAATGTACAGCAAGTATTATTGCAAATATTGTTGCTATACGAAGCGTTTTTTAAGCATTATTTTAAAAGTTTTCA